AGTGTCCGAATGCATTTCGCTTCATTACCTTCACAATCAGATTCCAGATTTCTATTTTCAGTGTCATTCTGCAGTGGTTGTGTATGATGCTTCGCAGTCCTCTTCAGTACCCCAAGCACAACGATTGGATCCTCGACCACTACAAGGCAAGCCCTACTGCTTTTCACATGCTCTGGGGAGCCTTCATCACTGCCTGGTCCTCTCACTTCATGTACCGCATCGGAAACGCTGTTTGCGAGGTGATTATTGATGCCTATGATGACCCTGTGTGGGCTCTTTACGAGATCTGGGATCTCGGGGTATACTCGCAGTTCTTTCTTGTCCGCACCATCTTTTTCATCCTGACTACCACATTCAACTTCATCTGCTTTTGGACTATCTTCCTCTTCACCATGTCGACATATTCATTCGTCGTTTGCCTCTCCCTGCTCGGCGCTGTTGCCATGTGGCAGCTGCACTATTACTTTTTCGTGTACAGTCCTCAGGAAGTCCCTGAAGAGGTCTCATATCAGCCCCCCCAGAAAGAAGTTCTTTCTACTCCCGACAGACCAGGTCGCTGCTTTCGAGTACCTACACCTTCTACTGGGTCGTCCACTTCTTCCTCCCGATCATCGCCTGGGTATACTTCACCTCACCTTCGACCCCGACCATCAAACAAACCCCCTGGTGCTGCATACGTCAAAGTATCTCCCAAAGCCATGCAAAAGCTTCATGACGAAGGAGTCTTCGTCCCAGAACCCACCAGAGTTGCCGACTACTCTTATCTGGAACCATTTGCAGTAAAGCGCCCTACCAACTTCAGCCGCTCTGATGCAAAGGCGCACTTCCGAAGAGTTAGGGAAATCGAGAGGAAGAAAGGCATAATATCATACAGCCCTGACCCTTATAAAGATGATCCTCCCTCCCCTACTGTTATTACAAAGACCGCGTGGATTCATTCCAAAATGGATGCTGTCGACCGAAAGCTTCGAAACATCACAGAAGATGTCACCGAGATGAACACGCTGCTTAACACTTTTCAAGCCAAAGGCAGCGTCAAGCCCCTTCACGACGCCTCACCCGCGATACCATTGTCGCCCAGAACACAACGGCGAAACGCAACTCTCGCTGAGAAAGATCGCATTGGACAAGTCATTAATGATTACCTATGTGAGATCAACACCATCTCAGCTCGTGTATATAGGCAAAAACCCTGGACTGAAGACGTGCTGAAGCACATTGATCGCCTGGTTGCCCACGCGGGAGATGCCGCTTCCCGCGCAATTCGTATAGAAGTCGAAGATTGTAAAAGGCGTGTTGATCTAGCGTTCAAGGGCGTGGACGCGGCAATTACGAGCTCTAATGGAATTGCAGACTTTTGCGTTGATCGCCAAATAGAACTGGAGGCCCAAGCCAAGAAGCTTTGTCGTATGGATCGAACTCAGGCTAAGTATCCTAGCATTCCAATCTTTGATGAATACTATGGTTGATCCCCATCGAGTTTTTGACTCATCTTTATCGACTAAACGATTAGCAGAGTGCTATTGTATACATATACACCACTGAGAGCACTTGAAGATTGATATTTTGGAGTTCGGGATTATACCCTTTGCTTTACTCCACATATCAAAGACACTTGCATGATTGACTACGAAGTCGGGGATATGATATCTTAGGTTGACGTTGAGTATAGCGGACAGAGTTGACCATTTACGAATGAACTCGATGATTAATGTCATAACATTTGTTCTTATGCTCCCAAAGTGATTTCTCTTTCGAGTCTGTTCATCATTGCGAAAAGGCCTGCCGCAACAGTAGCTCGCTTATCTATATCATCCAGGTCGCCTAGGTATAGAAGTTCTTTCTCTTGAGTTTCCCTGGTTATGATAGGTGGCTCACGATAAGCAGAAGACTTGTCTAATACACTCATCTCGTATCAACAAGAGCGCTGGGGATGAGATTAGGAGATGACGATGTTATCCTCAACCACCGAGGCCGGTTTCTAATGACTTGAAACTGACCACTGTGGCAAATACTTCTCGGTGGTGCCCTATTAAATACTGGTCCTAAAATGCGAGGATACGGGAACTGCCAAAGCTGTTGAGGCAGTCTGTGATGCCACAGACCATGCGACCTCAGTGAACGGGAATAATAGCACCATGATATTGACCTTCCTTGATATTGAAATGTACCATTATCGAATGATGCGTCCGTTTAGAGAGGCGAGGAGAAGAAATATGTACTCATTGCGGGCTATATCTTTACTTGCCAAATCCTCTGTGAACACCTGGGTATCGCACATAAAAATCGCATCTCGTCGTCACGACAGTTCCAGAACCGATCCTCCAATAAATCCTTCAGGTCAGAAAACTCCCCCAGATCCATAGACTGAACAGATGATCATCAAGACCACCGAGGCACCGGCTAATAACCAGCAGACTCAATACCATGAACCTGCCAGTAAAGACCTCCTTTCTTCCCAACCTCGTCAGCAGCACACTTGACAGATCCACGAGCTGCCATCTCCGTTCCAGCAGAGTACTCCAGAACAGCCTTCTGCATGATCCAAACGACATCGTCATCGCCGACTTTTAATCCCTTGTCAGCTCGCACAGCAAATGCACACGATCCTGATTTGACGATGTTGACAAGCCCATCTCCCACATCGTACTCGCGCTTGTCGTCGGAAGCAGCGGGGATGCTGAAGGTGCCGTTACGAGTACCAAAGGTTGAGAGAAGTGCTGCGCAGTCTCTGTAGTTGGCCCGCTTGGTGCTCTTGGGGGCCTGGTGCGCGTTGTAAGTCTTCTTGTCGCATGTACTGAAGGAGTGGTTTCCAGCAGCCCAGTAGGTGTATGGATCTTCGTAGGCACTGGGTGCTGTGGTTGAGACGGCGATCATGTTGTCTTTGGTAGGAGTAGCCGTGGGCGCTGCGGCTGCAAGGCCGATGAAGACGGCGACATGGTTGGTGAAATGCATCTCGATCGTTGATCTAGCGAGCGGGAAAAAAGTAAAGAAAGTTTGCTGAGAAAAAGAACGGATCGTGGTGAAGAGTAACGGACCAACAGGTGATCAACACCTATGTTAACGAGTGACTGAGAAAGGAAAACGCTGCGCTGCACTGCAACGAGGAGGTTGGGAGAGACAGTCAACAGCAGTCAGTTGACGGGGGAGAGAAAAGAATTATACCCAATCCAGATGGGCAAGTGGGATGTTTAGATGCGATCACAGGCGGAGATGGCAGTGTTTCAAGTAGAGTGGATGAGTATGAAACAAGGATCACAATACGCAGAGCAGAGAGGATGGTTTTTTTTGAGTGACATTTTGGGACCAGATTGATTAGACTCGGAAAAATTAGTGCTGTTTTGCTTTTGAATATATTTAGTCTCAACGAGTGAAACAGGGTGACGGGCTGTGTTTGTTTAATTGCGATAATCGCAGCGGAGGATCTGGCGTTTGTGTTTCCGTTTTTTGATGGGGACGATGTTTCGAGCAAAGTGCCATATTCATGCCGAGATCACCGCGTATAGGCACAGGAAAACGTGTGATTGGAAAGCTAATGGGAGGAGTGAAACGAGCGTCTCTATATATAAGGAATTATATGTGATGATCAACCATATGGTCTTGTATTCTTGGAGTTTAATTCGCTGCCAACAAGACTGACTGAGCACAGGACCATAGCGACAATACATACAGAGTATATACGCTTTGACTATTGCCATGTCTCTCTTGAATCCCTCGAAACAAACTACCTAGCAATTGTCTATTTCTTTGAAACGGTCTATCTTGCGTGCCTTGGCTTTCTCACATGCGCATAATTTGCAGCCTCGCATCGAGGCCAGATCAGCACTCTCAGTCTCCAACCTCGAGATCAAAAGGTCGTTGATCAATACCAATTTCACATGATAGTAAAACCTGGCGACAACTGCCGTCAAACTTGAATATTAGTCTCTATACCGTTGCAGTGGGATTTATCTCCCTGCAAACTTAAATGGCCTTCCTCGCAATATCTCGTGATAGAAACTACCTATCGAGTCTCTTGTCTCTCACTAACTCCCCCGGGCCGACAGTGGAGAAGAGTGACGCTCCAGTGGGTTGAGAGCCCCCACTCCCAGCGGTTCATCAACCCCGGTCTTGGAGATGATGACGCGAGGGGCATTGGCCAGTGACAGAGCAACTCGTTGGTTTATTTGTTGGGTGATGTTTGTACTCTCAATATGACTTCATATGTCGTGGATCTCTGTCTCAAGGCAGCCATGAAAAGTCTTGGCCAGGTTAGTAGTCCTTGGTCTTGGTTCATGGTTACCAATTCCCACGGCATAAGGGTTGATTACGCTAATGTAAGTTGGAAAAAGTGTCATTTCCACCATCTTGTCCTCGTTATTCCCAGACGTCACTATCTCGGCCGATAGAATACCCAAACATGACGGTTCTTCAGACTGATGCTCGTTCATGGAATTGACCCTCTTTATTAAGCCCGCCAGTATCCATATCATTCCCCATCAACTCCTGGGGTCATCATCTTGGCTCCGTCTTGGCTCCACGTCAAAATGATCACCCCAAAAACCTGTATCATGGACTGCTCGGTTCAGGTGACCCCCTCCAAGAAAAAGGGCCGTTACCACGATGATGGAATGGCTCTGATGATCGTCGGAACTCGGCTGAGGGTGAGTGAGACCCTTTCTTTTACTTTTTTCTTTTTTTTACTTGGTGTAACTCTCAGCTCGTCGCTTGACTCGATTCCCGAGCCCCGATGAACTGTTCTTGTCCCGTCTAGTCCTAGCTAGGGGTATTATCGGCCCCCAGTTTTGGGATCATTGCCAGTTCCTGATATCATCGTCATGGCCTATCAATGGAATGGTATTAACTAACATTGTCGGGGTCAGCTGGAAGAAGAAAATACTGTGAGGGACCTTGACCATTTTCCATGTTCTGAAATTTCTATCCATTGTAAACTCCATCGCCCAATCTTCTCTTCATTGCTCTTCTCTTCATATCATAAGTACTCAGCCATCATCGTCATCATGAAAACCGCTTCACAACCTTCAGCTCCCCATAACGCAGCAAGCAAAGTAAAGCGACTCGTTGGCAAAATTCGCCGCCACTCACACCCTCCATCCCCCGAAGCTTCCTCAGCATCTCCCTCATCATCCGCAAATCCATCTCGCGAATCTTCATCATGCCCTATTCCACACATCGGCAAACATAGTCAGCGCCAAAGTCGCCGCGGATCAGCCTCAGATGAGGAGGAGCGCGCGCACGACCTTGAACTCTGGAACGCAGCATACGATGTCCTCAAGAGAGATGGCACGTCCTCGGGTCTTGTGCTCGCGTATGAGAGCATTATTTCTCATGCACTCCCTGATACTTTGAGGCCGGGACATAACGGGAATGGGAATGGGCTACCGACAGAAAGTGAGAGGAGAGCGGAACTCATGATGATGATCGCAAAGTCTGGTTTAAACCGCGAAGTTAAGGAGACATCACAAACAGACTCGGGAGATGTTGAAGCAAGAGAAAATCTGATTCGCACAAGGTCGACTATAGCTTCATTACTCGATGACCAGCCCAGCGCCGCTGTCGCTTGGGCGGGCTTCTGCTCACTAACACCAGTAGGCTCCGACTGACTCAACCCATTGAACAACAAGACTGATATCATCAATAGCTTCTACTAGAACCCCTTCTCCGACATGAAGATATTCGCCAAGGGTTTGTGCATATTGCACACACCATTCCTCACTACATGACCCTCCATCGTGCCCTCCATCCATCATCCTGGACATCCCTACCAGAGTTCCAACGTCAACAGCCGCAAGTCCATCAAACTCTTCTAACACTTTATCGACGCATCCTCGAGTGCGAGATGAACATTGTCTGCGCCGCTGCGAGCGCCTGGAACATGGCTGCTCGCAACGTCGTCGATTGGCATGGCTGGAAAGGCATGGCGGATGCTGTGCGAGATATGGACGCTGAGTTGATGGGCTATGTCGAGAAGAATGGCACAGATGAGGCTAGGGCGTTGATGGAGGTTCAGAGGAAGTTAGAGCCTGAAGGGGGAGGCCGCGGTGAGTTACATGACGACACTTCATCACCAAATGCGTAAGAATACAAGACAAGCCATCAATCAAGGGGCCATTGCAAGCAAGGTGGTTTTATATAAAGCCAATTTCAATCGATTTACCCGGATAGTCAAATCTACAGATTTCCCTTTTCCCCAAACCAGACTCCCGACTCCATGCTCCGCCCTTTTGACCAAGCCAGTGTAGGACTTTGCTTTTTTCCTTTTGCCAAGTCGCGATCAAATCAACCAGTCTATATTCCAACAACCAATTACCATATACCCAAAGACCACCATGCTCCGTTTCTACAAGAATACTCCTTTAAAAACGCCCCAATTACTGCCCAATATTTGGAAGGATACCCTGCTTGTCAAGGTTCCTCAGAGTATCACCGTACTCATTGATATGTCGCTGCCAGCGACTGACATCGCGCTTGAAACCAATCGCCCCCAACATGGCTGACCATCCAGGCATTTGGTCACGGGTCACAAGTTCATATACACGACAGAGGATTTGATAAAATTCCACCTGAGGCCTCATCGCAACCGCGTACAAGTGTCGCACCAAGTCAGCCCAGCCGGCGATAAAGTCGACGTCAAACGTGGACTCGGGATACCGGAACTCGATAGTGTCGTACTTAGAGACAACCAGTGCACACCGGGTAGTTGTGTGAAGGGATCCCTCGTCGAATTTTCGGAGGGCGATGCCCAGGCTAATCAAGCTGGTTTCCGACCACAGGCGTTTCATAGCTCCCAGCAGACCTCTGTCGACTTTCTTGCGCCAGTGTAGCTGTCGCATGACCTCTCCGAGTGCTTCAACAAGAGCTGCACCCTCGCCATACACTGTTGGTTCACCCCTTTCCATGGCGATTCGAGATTCAACGCTGATACGCGCCGAGTAAGGAGAAGTCGAGCGGAAAGGATGGCATAGAGGGTACAGCAGAGAATCTTCCAGCAGCCAGACTAAAGATGCAAGGCGCAGCGCAGTCTCTAGCTGCATGCTGCCGGCTTCGTTGACGTGGAGGTGTAGTCCACAACCAGAATTAAGTCCAACTACCATGTTGCCCTGCACTGCCGCAAGGCACTTTCTGAGGGTAGGTAGCCCCTGACTGAACTCTTCAGGACGAGTGAGGATAGGGCTGTTGAGTTCAGTTCCATACCAGTCGTACTTGTTTGAAGGTGTCATTCCGGACTTACTAACGCAGTCTCTGGTGATGTGACGCTCCGGAACAATGAACCAAAAATCAGTCCTAGACACTGGTCCGCTGACAGACTCGTTATTCCAAGCTCGAATGTCTCCGCTATTATCTGTGAGCGGAAGAATTGTAGTGCCAGGGATCTGGGCAGGGCTGGATGGCGAAGGTGTGAGGCTACACGAGACGGAGACCCCGCTGCTGGCGATCAATTCGCATACCTTGTGAATACAAGACGGTTCGATGTCTTTGTAGTCTCCCATCACGAGGCCCAAAAAAGCCTCCGGTGTTGTAGGACAGGTCCATCGAGTCTCACCAGTCACAGCGTCGGAGTTTGGGATCTGCAGTGCAACCATAAATTCCAACTCGATACCGACACATATGGACTGCGGTATCGACATGCTGGGCTCGAGGGATGCAGGGATCGCAGAGGCCTTTTCTCGACGGTGAAAATGCTTATCGACTTGGATGTGATGATAGCTTCTCAGGGTCGAGAGCAGAGAGGCTGGAGCCCCTAATGGGTTACGATTTATAGCAGATAGCTCCATAATGAACAATATGAGGTGAGTTGAGGAAGCAAGAACAATTCGTGGTGTTCTCTCTTATATACTCGCGAGTCAAAGAACATGGCCGCAAAGAAAGTGAGTGCGTCTATCATGTAAGGAGAAGGGACTGGACAGAAAAGGAATCTTGACTCGCTCACCGAAGGGCGGTCAAGGTTTAGGAATTTGAGGCTGTGAATGAACTATCTTTTTACATGTGCCTGTTATAAAAGCCTCCCGCCGAACAAGCTTCTCGGTATGAAACTCTGTTGTCGAGTAGTTCGGCCACTAGTCAGCACAGAACAGCCCAACCCTTAACAAGCACGATAAGGTGATCATGGTTCTATTCGTAAGCTAAACATTCGGCAACCTCAATCATGGTAACAACACAAAGCCATTCAAAAACGCTTGGCTCCGACTGGGCAATGAACAGAGTGACACTTGTCTCTCAAAAAGTGTCTGACCGGTCCAGAACGTGTGATTTAGAGGTAGCGGGAGTGGTAGGGCGATCCTTGCATCCAACCTTTTGACATAATACCAGGGGTGAAGATTGGGTGAGATCTACACCTCAACATCCAAAAGCTTGTGAGTCGCGGAGAAGCACTCGAGAGTCTCGTGAGTTTGTGGTGATAGGTCCGATATGTTGGCAACCCACCTTTCAGCCTGTTTTGAAAGTAAGAACATGATTGACTGATTGGTCTTATCGTAGCATTGTGCCATTGAAATGTGTTGAACAAAGAGTACTCGGTGAAGAATAGTTGACTTACACGAGGAGGAAGTGCAGGGAGAGTTGGCGCATCAAAGTTACTCCGTAACGACCAATCATTAAGCTGCGCAGCATTTGCTAGGAAGCTTGCCTGAAAGGAAGACTGCCCTGTCTAGAGGTAGGGGAGGAAAGAAAATACATGTCCTCGATCCTAAATGACAAAAAGGCTTAGGTAATATAGCCTAAGCTTAGGATGACTTTTGCTAAGTTTATTTTGACACCCCACAGCAAGGTTCGATGTTTTCTTGCCCCCGAGGCCTGTGACGAAATCCCCTAATTTTGTCCACTGCTCCTGGGGTGCAGTCGGGTTCCATTGTGGCGGACGAGGAATAGCTGGCCTGCCTGCATCTTTGATTGACTGACTGAACTGTGCCCAAAAAACGCGACATCGCGTTAACTCCAATTTAAGCCAAACTCCATCCTCATCACCATATTCAAACAACGTCAATTATTCCCACCGCTGAATCGATCGCATCGCATTCGAATTTATCGCGACGAGTATCTTAAACCTTTAGTTTATTCGCAGCGTCGCCCTCGACTCAAACGCGATTCCTCCCGGGCATGCCACTCGACTTCCCACAATGCGTATGATCAAGCCTTCATGGCTAAGCCATAGCGGCGAGCAAAAGGATTTCGAAGTTTACAGCTGCCATGTCTCCCCGGATGGAAAACGACTTGCGACTGCGGGCGGCGATGGACACGTCCGCGTTTGGTCGACTGAAAGTATCTACAATGCCGACACACCAAAGTACAACAAGCCGCGCCAGCTCTGCCACATGAGCCATCATCTTGGAACAATTCACTCGGTTCGCTTTTCGCCTAATGGGCGCTATCTTGCCAGTGGAGCGGACGACAAAATCATTTGCGTATACCACCTGGATAAAGGACCACCAGCTGCTACCTTTGGCACCAACGAGCCTCCTCCTGTCGAGAACTGGAAGACATACAAACGATTAATTGGCCACGATAATGATGTTCAGGATCTCGCCTGGTCGTACGATTCTTCAATACTGGTTTCTGTTGGCCTTGATTCTAAGGTGGTCGTCTGGTCTGGTCACACGTTCGAGAAGCTGAAGACTTTGCCTGCACACCAAAGTCATGTCAAGGGCATCACCTTCGATCCAGCGAACAAATTCTTTGCAACCGCAAGCGACGACCGAACGATCAAAATCTTTCGATTCACTTCGCCTGCACCTAATGCGACACAGCACGACATGGTTAACAACTTTGTTCTTGAAACAACCATTAGTACACCGTTCAAGAGCTCGCCCCTAACTACCTACTTTCGACGATGTTCGTGGTCTCCCGATGGCAATCACATCGCAGCTGCCAACGCTGTAAACGGCCCCGTGAGTTCTGTTGCTATTATCGAGCGGACGAGATGGGATAGTGAAATCAATCTTATCGGCCATGAAGCTCCAACGGAAGTGTGCATGTTCTCCCCTCGTTTGTTCCACACGTCGAAACCAGATGCGAGTGCAGCCGACGGGGCTGCGACATCGCTCGTGACAGTGATAGCATCTGCTGGCCAGGACAAGACTTTGAGTATATGGAACACAAATACGTCCAGGCCTGTAGTCGTGTGTCAAGACTTGGCAGGCAAGTCGATATCTGATCTAGCGTGGACTCCGGATGGGCAGACCATTTTTGCGTCAAGCTTAGACGGTAGCATTGTGGTTGTAAATTTCGAGGAGGGAGAGCTCGGCTGGGTAGCGCAACCAGAGGAGAACGTCAAGGCACTTCAGAAATATGGGGCGTCTCGGAAAGGAATGGGTATAGCTGAGGACGTGGATGGCCTTGTTCTGGAAAACCAGAGTAAAGAGGGAGAGTCGCGGGCTGTAGAGTCGAGGATGGGTGCACTCATGGGAGACTTTTCCGAGTCAACCAAAGAGTCAACACCTATCGCTAATGGCCCTAAACCCAACGGCACTTCGGCGAAGCCATCGACAAATGGCCAAACTGAGCCAGAAAACGAACCAGAGAAGCAGCCAGAAGAGACAGCTGACAAGACAGCCGAACGTGTCAAGGAATTGAAATCGCGGGTCACTATCGGCAAAGATGGCAAGAAGCGAGTTGCACCTTTGTTGGTGTCATCATCAGGGACAGGCACGTCTTCATTGCCTCAAACTCAGTTGGTTGGAACAACAAGCACCAACAAGAACGCGCAAAATGATACACCGCAGACGATAGTTGATATAAGCAAGCCTTATGACGGTTTGCCTAAGGGAGGCATTGCTGCCATGTTGCTTGGTAACAAGAGGCAAATCAACCTGGGTGATGACGAAGATGAAGAGGAGCCAGTTGCCAAGCGCGTTGCTACAGGTCCTACACCTATCGTCACTGATGGCCCTAATGGGGTCGAGCCAGCAGCACTCGTACCTGTTCAGAATGGTGTGGTTCCCACACCAGAGTTCCTTCGGCCCGCAGTCATGAATGTGTCTATGTCATTCGCTCAAGTCAGATTAGCTGTACCGAAGATCAGGTCACATATCCTTCGGCCGCTGGACAGGGGAATTTTACAGGGCGAGAGCTCCTTGGAAGAAG